TTTTTTCCTCCTTTTATTCTCTTATCCTATGATTTGATGACTATCTTTGCTGTTGTGTTGGGATTCATTTTTCTTTTTGCCTAAAAATATATATTTTTTTATTGGCAGTTACAACGAGGTTTTGATATATAGCATGCTGTATACACTCACACATACACATGTATATACACACATACAATTATTTTAATTTGCTAATCTCTTAATTTCAAATGCATTTTAAATATCCTGCATTTGTACTCTCCTCCTCTATTACTAGTTTAGATATCATAGTGTGTGTGGATGATTTCCTACCTTTACTGTTTTGTCTTTACTGGTGAGCTTTCCCATTTCATAATTTTCTTGTTTCTAGTTGTGGCCTTTTCCTTTCCACCTACTGGAGTTCTTTTAGCATTCGCCTGTCTGTAAAGCTTTGGATTCCTCTGTCAAATGTGAATGAGTGCCTTGCTGGGTAGAGTATTCTCAGTTGTAGATATTTTCCATTTGTCACCAATTATATCATGCCACTCCCTTCTGATCTGGAGTTTCTGCTGAAAAAAATTAGCTGATAACCTTATGGGGATTCCCATGTATGTTACTTGTTGCTTTTCTCTTGTTGATTTAATATTTTTGTCAGTTTGATTAGTATACATCTTGGTGTGATGCTCCTCCTTGGGTTTATCCTGCCTGGGACTTTCTTACTGGATTTGGGTGACTGTTTCCTTCCCCATGTTAAGGAAGTTTTCAACTATTATCTCTTTGAATATCTTCCCAGGCCCTAAGCCTTCTGGAACCCCTGTCATGCAAACGTTAGGACATTTGATGTTGTCCCAGAGATCTCTTAAACTGTCCTCTTTTCATTATCTTTTTTTTCTTTATTCTGTCTGTGGCAGTGACTTCCATGACTTTCTTCCAGCTCACTTATCCGTTCTTTTGCCTCATTTCTTCCTGCTATTGATTCTTTTTTCATCTCAATTACTGTATTCATCAACTTTTGTTGTTCTTTATATTTTCTAGCTCTTTATTAAAAATTTGTTAACTTCTCACTCTCCATTCTTTTCCTGAGTTCTTGGATCACCCCTCCCGTCGTCACTCGGAACTCTTTCTTGGGCGGATTGCCCATGTCACTTAGTTGTCCTTCTATGGTTTTTATCTTCTTTCTTCATCTGAAACATATTCCTCTACCATCTCACTTTGTCTCAATTTCTAATTGTATAACAGCAGCTCAGTCAGTCATGTCTGACTTTTTGTGACCCCGTGGACTGCAGCACAACCAGGCTTCCTTGTCCTTCACTATCTCCCTGAGTTTACTCAAACTCATGTCCGTTGAGTCAGTGATGCCCTCCAACCATCTCGTGCTCTGTCTCCCCCTTCTCCTCCTGCCCTCAGTCTTTCCCAGCATCAGGGTTCTTTTCCAGTGAGTTGGCTTTTCACATCATGTCGCCACAGTATTGGTGCTCCAGTTCAGCAGCATATTTTTATGTAAGTGGAACGTTATGCTTCTCGACTTTGGAGAAGTGGCATTGTATAGGTTCTGTCCTCTGTGTCCCAGCAGTACATGCTCCTCTTGTCATGCAAGGGCCAGGGACCAGCTGGTCCCAGGGTAGGCTCTGGTCTGCATTTGCTGACTTAGTTCCACACGTTGCTGAACTGTAGTTCTCTTGCTTCGGGTGTGTTGCCCCTGTTATGGGTGAGGCTGGTCTAGAGGCGTATCCAGGCTTCCTGATGGGAAGGGCTGGTACACACCCACTGGAGGGTGGAGCTGGGTCTTGGCCTTCTGCTGGGCAGTGCTGTGTCAACTGTTAGTCCATCACTCATTCGTGTCTGACTCTTTGCAACCCCACGGAATGTAGCCCACCAGGCTTCTCTGTCCATGGAATTCTCCAGGCAAGAATACTGGAGTGGGGAGTGGATTGCAATTCCCTTCTCCAGAGGAACTTCCCAACCCAGGGATCGAACCCTGGTCTCCTGCCTTGAAGGCAGATTCTTTACTGTTTGAGCTACAGGGAAAGTCTCGTGGAAAGCACTCAGGGAAAGGGCTGTGTCAAGGAGAGTTCTGAAGGTGGCTGTGTGCTCAGGCAGTCTTTGGTCAGCCTGTCTGCTGATGGCTGGGGCTGCGTTCCCACCATGGTGGTGGTTTGGCCTGAGGTATCCCAGCACCAGAACCTTGGTTCCAAAGTGGCAGCCTCCAGGAGAGCTCACACAGGTGAATAGTCCTCAGCACTTTTGCCACCAGTGTCTGTGTCCCCACAATGAGCCACAACTGCCCCCTGCCTCCCCCAGGAGACCCTCCAAGACCAGCAGGTAGGTCTGGTCCAGGCTCTTACAAGTGAAAGGAAAGTAAAGTCGCTCAGTCATGTCCGACTCTTTGCGACCCCATGGACTGTAACCTACCAGGCTCCTCTGTCCATGGGATTCTCCAGGCAAGAACTGGAGTGGGTTGCCATTTCCTTCTCCAGAGGATCTTCCTGACCCAGGGATTGAACCCGGTCTCCTGCGTTGTAGGCAGACGCTTTACTGTCTCAGCCACCAGGGGAGTCTCACAAAGGCACTGCTTTTGCCCTGGGTCTTGATGTACATGAGACATTGTGTAAGCCGTCCAAGTCGGAGTTGCTGTTTGCCCCAGTCCTGGGGAGCGTCTGCGTCAAGCCCTAGTGGTTTTCATAACCACATGCTCTGGGCATGCCGCCGCCTCATGCCGGACCCCAAGGCTAGGGAGTCTGCCATGGGGCTCAGAACTCTCTCTTGTGGGAGACCTTCTGCTGCTTAATTCTTCTCCAGTTTGTGGGTCACCCACCCAGGGGGTAATGGGATTTGATTATATCACACGTGCACCCCTCTTACCTTTCTGTTGAGTTTCTTCTTTACATCTTTGGATTAGAATATCTTTTTTGGTAGGTTCAAGTCTTTTTTTAATCGGTGGTGGTTCAGAAATGGGTTGGGATTTTGGTGTGCTTACGTGAGGAAGTGAGCTCAAGTTCCTTCTATTCTGCCATCAGCATGATGAATAAACTCTTAATTACTGATTTTTTAACAAACCAGTGCCATATCAACAGGCACAACAGCACCCCTTCACAGTGATGATAATGAAGTCTAATTGCACACCCATAACAGAACTGCCTTCAGCACTAACAGGGAAACCTCAGGGGTTCTGAGTGATGCAGGATGCCCCAGCAACACTGGCAGGGGTCCTTGTCCAGGTTCTAGAAGCTGTCTGTGTTCCCTGAATTATGGCTCTCTCTCTCTCTCTTCAAAGTCAGCCATAGCAAGATGGACTTCCTTCTAACCATGCCATCCATCTAGTTTGATCCAATATTTTGTTTTGAATGTTGTATCTATATTCATCAAAGATATGCGCTCAGATGCTAAGTTGACTGAACCTGCGTCTCTTATGTCTCCTACATTGGCAGGGAGATTTATTACCAGTACCACATAGGAAGCCCCAGATACTGGCCTATAATTTTTTTAATATTGTCTTTGTCTGATTTCAGTATCAGGTGATGGTGGCTTCTTATAACGACTTTGGGAGTATTCCTTCTTCTGTCTGTTGGAAGAGTTTGAGAAGGATCCGTGTAGTTCCCTTGTATGTTTGGTAGAATTTCCCAGTGAAGCCATCTGGTCCTGGACTTTTGTTTGCAGGGAGGTTTTTTGTTGTTTTTTTTTTTAATTACAGATTCTATTTCACTTCTAGTGATTTGTCTGTTCAAAGTATCTATTTCATCTTGATTCATTTTGGTGGGTTGTATAGTTTCTAGAAACTTGTCCATTTCTTATAGGTTGTCCAATTTGTTGGCATGTAATTGTTCCTAGTATTTTCTTACATTTTTGTATTTCTGTGGCATCAGTTGTTTGGTCTCTCTTAATTGTTAACTGGAAAGTATTCTAAGTGGTGCTATTTGGTAAAGAACCCACCTACCAACGCAGGAGACATAAGAGAGGTGAGCTCAATCCCTGGGTCAGGAAGATCCCCTGGAGAATCCCATGGACAGAGGAACCTGGAAGACTACAGTCCACAGGGTCACAGAGAATTCAGACAGTACTGAAGCGACTCAGCACACACACACAATACCTATACAGTGATTGTACCATGAAAAAATAATGAGGTCTTATTTGCTGAGCATTTCTGTATGCCCAAAGCTGTGCTAAGCCTGTAGTCTTCACACATCCTTAATGTTGTTATTCCCACTTTCTGTGACTTACAGAGCCTACCTTGGTAGGGTCATTTTTAGCTCATAACAATAGTATGATACAAATTTAAACAGAAATTCAGGATCTCAGCTTGCTATCTGAGATCCATATATATATATATATGGCATGGATTAGGATGCAAATATAGGAAAATAAGAGCAATGGCTGTGTTATAGTAGAAAGATTGTGGTGGTTTCAGTCTTTAAGATAAAATGAATTATTGGTATAAAAATATATGTAATAAAAATTGGGAGAAGAAAAAACTGCATTAATAAACAACCTACCTGGAATTTATGACTAGACACTGAGACTTTTATTGCTGTGGGTGCTGTGTTTCATTTTTATTCCTAAAGCTTTCTGGTCTTCTGGTCCCTGTGAAGAGAAAGAAGTTAGGGCGACAGGAAATCTACCCGCCTGTCCTCTGGTCTTCACTGAGTCAGATAACAGAGCTGCCCTTTAGATCAGAGGACTGTGGCTTTCCAGAAGTGGTGATCAGTTTTCTCTGAGCCATCTTAAATCTCACCCCATCTCGTTTTCACATCAAGGTAGGGCTGCTCAGACATCATGCTGCCAGTAAGGCAGTCATCCATATGAAAAGTGGACCTGGAACTTTCCACCTGCTTATCTCATGCCCCTCTCCTAACAGCTGCCCAGGAAGCGATGCAGCAAATCACACGCAGCCCTCTAACTCGCGCTCCTTCTGTAAGGACCTTACTTAACAGCCGAGCAGAAAACCGCATGTTTGTCTCACTTGGGAAAGCACGTCCTTACTCAAACCCCTGCCTCCTTTAAGATGAGTTCCCCTCCCAAAAGTGACTTTTCTTCCTTTCTAACAGATATCTGCAAATGAAATCGAAATGCTTTTGATGAGGTTGCCACGCATGTTTAAACAGGAATTCACAGGCGTGGGAGCAACGCTGGAAAAAAGGTGGAAGTTGTGTGCCTTCGAAGGAATTAAAACTACCTAACTGTGAAAAGCGATGAAATCTCTGGATGAAACCGCCTGAACCCGGCCAGGGCTGTGCCGCGTGAGCCCAGGAGTTTTGGGGCAGGTCCAACGCGGGACCTTTATGGAGCCGTCAGAGCCTGACTGTAGTTACATCTGTGGCGTTCTCTTGTGAGTGGAAATGTAATTGTGTACCAGTTCCCTAAAACAAACAAAGCTTCATACTGTGACAGATCTGTTTGCTATGAAAACCAATGATTCCACAGTCATAGTGATGGCAGAACCCTAAAATATGCTACATTTGAGACTAGCTCACCAAGCAGAATATTTAAAGTTAATAATGGTGTAGCAATGGTCGTTGCTAGGCTACAGAGCTGTATATGTAATGTATAGCTGAAATCATTCAATGACATTTTCCTGAAAGTCTTTATGTTTTAGTAAAAAAAAAAAAGAAGAAGAAGAAGGAAAAAAAGTAATTTTACAGTGAGGAAAAAAATCATACCAAAAGAAAACTTGAATATGTGTCTGAACAGTTATTTTGTAAATTAAGTTATATGCTGTTCTAGGGACTTTTGCCTTATTGAAGAGGCAGAAAATGTGATTGGACTCCTTGAGAATGCTTTATCAAGAATATTATTTTTCTAATGTAACAATCCTCCATCATACATTCTTTTAACATGGACTGCATAACAATTTTCATAAAATGTAAATAAAAGAAAAACTAGTGCTACTGTCTTGTACTTGGTATGTAATATTCAGGTTTATGCATCAAAATAAACATTCAGTAAATATTGCTGTTACAAATTTTATAGCAAAGATATTAATTTTTTTCAATAAATATGACTTCTACCATATTGGTTTTGCAAATTATTCTTTGATATATTTTAAGAAATATTTTTCACATTATTCAGTCCCATCTCATAGCCCATTATTTTTAAATGATTAAATAAATGCATGAGTGAATTAAGAGACAAAACATTATTTCAGACAGAAATATATAAAGTCATAAAGTAGAAAGTACTGAGAAAAGATTATATAGCATTAGAATGGATATTATTCAAAAATACCAAGATAGGACAGCCAAATATAATCAACATAAATTTTACGTTTGTTTTGTGTCCTCATGCATAGGAACAAAGGAGCCAGTTACTATTATTAATTCTGGATTTATTTGTGTGTTTTCTGGAAAACATACAAGTTAGAAAAAGAATTTAAAAATTCACACATCAACCGAGAATTTTTAGAGAAAATTTAGATTTCCCTTCTTTAAATATAAGAATAGAGCTTTCAATTGTATTTCCCTCCTGTCTCCTTACATGAGAATCACAAAAAAGCAAGTATTCAAGATACTGATTGATTTTAAATGAAACATTTTTTAGGAAGACAGCTGAACAGTGAATGTTCTTTGAAATTCCAAAAAGACATTCATAATTTCCTACTGGACATTATTGTCCTCAGGCTCTTTTTATTGAGTCCTGATAAATTAAGATTCTTAGTCATGCCTCCCATAAATATCTACACATGTTATATTCAGGCGCAGTGCTAACACCGTGAATATGCAGCTGAATAAGAAAGGACCACCCCCCCCAACCGAACCAATGAACTGAGTTCAACGGGGAGAAGAAATTTTCCTAAAAGTGTCTATATGACGTGAACCATGTGACAGTAAAGATGTGATAGTGGAGCCATGATCCAACCTAAATATCAATGTTATATTTAATGTTGAAACACTTGAGGTCTCTTCACTACCATCTGTCAATGCCCACTACCACCATCATCCTGACATGTTTCTCTCTAGGTCAGGAGACAAATAAGGATACAACAATCCGAAAGGGGACCTCCTTATTTACAGATAATGTTACCATAAAATAGAAGACCTAAGAGGTTCACCTGAAAAAGAATTAGAAAAGATGAATTCAGTCAAGTGGCAGTTAAAGATGTCTGGTAGGGACCCAAAGGAAGGTATCATAATCTTGGCCACCTGCAAACTGCAAACCGGTAGATGTCTTCAAATGTGCATTCATACTTTCAAGTATTGCCTGCGGTCACTTTAGCCTCAGGATACACTGCACAGGGTAGACCCCAACTTAGGGCTTCTGCTTAGGAGGAAGAGTTGGCATGACCTCATGTTAGATCTGACATAAGATACCGCTTTCTAACTTCAATTATAACTTATTTTTGCCAGAAAAAAAAAAGAAAACTTCTGAATTATTTCACACGCATTCTGGTTTCAGATGGGACTTCAGAGGTCACCTGGGGAAGGAAATAGCCTTGGTACCTCTGGGGGCGTCTTCCTGTTTGTCACCCCATCCTCCCTAATCCTTGGAATAATCCTATTAAAAAGGACAGTGTTATTGTCCTCATTTGTCACACAAGGAGAAGGAGGCTCACACATGCTAACAATCTGGCCTAATTTGCACAGTTAGACAATTCTGAACACGGGGTTTGAAACCAGGACCCGATGACTCCAAAACACGTTGTTCTTTTTCTATGCCACGCTTCTCATTCAGTCTATCCCCACTCCTCCCATGAGCTCAGTGCTCATCCAGGGCCTTCGGATCATTGCTTTTCCTCTCCTTTTTCCTCCACCATCCCTGGTACATGCACACAGGTGGGAAGACCTTTCTCTCCTAAACCCACCCAGTAATAAATCATCGTTCTTGGGCTCTGAGAATAAGCAAAATGTTGAAAGTTTGGAAATCCTGTTACCTGACCCCGATGGGTCTTTCTGGATTGCTTTCTCACTGCTCCCCTAAATAAAGCTAATAAGTTTTTGTCTTTCGGCTTTTGTTCATATCTGTCTATCCAAAGGGAAATACTTTACCTGAACCTGCCTTCCAATACAGGAGACGTAAGATATGCATGTTCAATCCCTGGGTCAGGAAGATCCCCTGGAGAAGGAAATGACACGCCACTCCAGTATTCTTGCCTGGAGAATCCCATAGACAGAGGAGCCTGGCGGACTACAGTCCACGGGGTCACAAAGAGGTGGACGCGACTGAAGAGGCTGAGTCTGTATACATGTACTGCTTGTCACAATTCTACACAGCTTTAAGAGGAAAATGCAAAGCTTCTCCTCAGCCATGGGACTTTTCTCCATCCCCCAGAAGTTGCTCCTCCTGCCTCTGTGTGACCATCATCCCACCTGGACGATTTCTTAAGGCACTTACTCCCCAGTGGTCTTTGCCTCATCTCCCTATTAGATCACAGGCTCTTTGAGGGATTCCAAGCCTGTCTCATTTACTTTGAATATTTCTCAAAGTGATGTTACTTATAAATATTTAGAACACAAGACAGAGAAAGAACTAAGATGTTTTTCTGCCTCCAGAGATCAGTTTGCTTAGACACAAAAGAAAAAAATTACAAAATATTTTAAAAGGCTGCAAATATTTTAGACCTGAGATTCCAAGACAGAAAATGTGAGCAATAATATTACTGTATGCTATGGAAATACAAAAAGCAACCCAATTCCTTCTTAAGGTTCAAACCCAGATCAATTAGCAACTCTTCTATGAAACCCTGATCTCCAGGATCCTCTCTTAGGTTCCCACTACTATTGCAGTATGTTCCTACTGCAGCCTGAATTCTGTATTGTGACCATTTATGAATGGAGCTTTCTCTCCCACTTTCTGCAGGCTGGAGACCTCCCTTACTCAATCCTCCAGTCCCTCAGACTGACATGACATACCATGACCTTTAGGTATTTATCGACTGAAGGAACCCAATGAATGAAAGAAAAGCCCACACAAGAACTTTCTGAATTTGTTGAATCAAATCATATTGAGGTATTAGGCCCAGTAAAGAATAAAGGCTAGAACTTTCTTCCCCTCAGCTGTAAGATCCTGGCAGAATTATTCTTTTTTAACACATTATTGACCAGAGACATTTTAATACATGTTTTGTTACACCTGAATGTTACTGACTGTAACATTTAAATATTTAAAGTGACATTTAAATATTCACTTGCATAACAAATTACTGACCACAGGCATTAGTTTCTGCAAAAATCCCCTGTACATGCATACATGTAATATGGCAGTAATATGTTAAATTATTTTATTGTGGGAAGATACACATAATGTTTATACTTTTAACCATTCATAATTGTATAAATCAGTGGCATTAAACACATTCACAGTGCTGACACAACTAGTCACCACTGTCTGACTTTTTCATCATCCTCAACAAAAATTTTAAGACACTCGTTAAACAATAACTCCCTATCCCCGCTCCTTCCAGCCGCTGGTAACCTCTCTTCTACGTTATGTCTCTTTGAATGTACCCAGTCTAGATCTCATGTCTGTGGAACATACACTATTGGTCCTTCCATCTCACGTATTTCACTTAGCTGAATGTCTTCCAGGTTCATCCATGCTGTAGCATGTGTCAGAATTTCATTCCTTTCTGAAGTTGAATAATACTTTGTTGTATGAGAACTCTTCTTGCTGGCTTAAGTACCTGTTATCTATTGCAGCAAGGAAAAGTCCCTTGTCTACGTTTGAAAGTACTTAAGTACTTTTAGTAAATACCACATCAAAAACAGCATTTGCAAGTGTAGAGAAGTTTGCTTCCATCTAGATAAACCTCATTTTCATTGAGGGTAATAAAAATGAAATGACAAAACTAGAAAATGTTGGTAGTAATTGTAGAAAAAGACTGTTTCAACAAATATCCATGCAACAAATGTGATATGTGACGAGTTGTTTTCTCTTGGTAAGGGTTGGGGATGTTTCACTTTGAGGGTTTTTTTAAAATCCATTTTCTAAAAGTAGGTGCTGTGTTTGTTTCACTCAATAAAAGACATTTATCCCAAAACTGTAAGAACTCTTTTACCATAATACTCATAGTTTCTCCTCATAAACTGAGAAAATAAAGAGATGTTAGAGTCCTAAAATCTTATAGCTTGGCTCACTTTATATCAAAATGGTAAAAGGTTCACATGTATATTAAATCAGTCTGTCATTAGTATCTGAATAAACTATAACTTTCACAAGCAGCACACCAAACATAAACATTTCAGAGTTAAACAACTTATTATGAATGTGTTTATATATTAGATCACTAAAAATACTGTGTTTCTAGTTCCACCAACTCCAATTCCCCTCTTCTGCTCTCAGAAAGTGGATCTTTTTTGAAAAATGTTTGGGCTTCAAACACCCGACTGTTTCTCATACTCTGTAGGAGAGCGTTCAGTCTGTGTGGAGTCGAGTCCAGCCCCAGCCCTCACTGGGGCTGTTACCAAGCCTCACTACTTAACCCCAGAGAGGTGCTAGCCCCACATTCGTGATACAGTAATGTTCACACCGAAGTCAGAGGATCACGGTGATTGATTCAACGAGACAGCATGCATAAAGCACCCTGACCGGAGCCAGGGAGACTGAAGTCACTGGTTTCTTCAAACACCGAGCTTTAGGGCGCCCCTGTGGCTCAGTGGTAAAGAATCCGCCTGCCAATGCA